ATGTAGGTGAAGATATAGTCATATAGGATGCTGATTCTTTGGCGTTGACAATTTGCCGAAGATCGCGCAGTTTTGGATTCAGAAAAGATCTTCTTTTGACTAGAAGTGAGCTGAGCATCCATGCGCCTGTATGTCGATTCTGTCTCTCGTAGAACTCTGAAATGGACAAATCGTGCTGTCAAAAAGCGCGGACAACAAGAAGCCCCTTGAAAGTCAAGTTGACTGTATCGTACATTGGCGATCGAAGTGAGCCTTCTAGTCGTTTAAGTTGTCTGGAAGTTTTGATGTAGTAGCGTTGAAGATACAGGGAAATGAACAATAATGGAAACGAAATCAGAACCGTCTAGATATTTGCGAAGCCAACAACTGTCAGAATTCCTATTACCGAAAGGCCAATACTGACAGCATCCGTCGATTTTAATGGAAGCATATCATCCACTTGGCCGAGTTCCTTCGAAAATCTATTGCGAGCAACACCTCCAGAAGATTCTTCAAAAAAACTAACTGGCGAACGAATAACTTGTTTCGTCATTCTATCGTGCAGAGATGCGTTTTTTTAGTGGTGAGAGCCCGGCAAATCCATCAAATTGACACTTTCGCAGTTCAAAACACAACTATATTATCAGTTTGTCAAAATCGGTGTCGAAGCAGACTGGCAGTGCTTCCGAAGAAAGTACTCCTTCTCAAGAATGTACTCCTTCCCAAGAAAGTACTCCTTCCCAAGAATGTAATCCTTCCCAAGAATGTTCTCCTTCCCAAGAACAAATCAACGGATCAAGGATTTCGTTCAAAGCTCTGGGCGAAAAAAACTCAGAAGAAAAAATCGCCATCCAAAGAAAAAACCATCGAGGATGAGTTGGCCCTTTATGATGATCTTGATGTTGATGATTTAGAAATATGTAAGCTCAAATTTTAATTTTTAAAATTAACAGAAATAAAGTCGAGGAAAGAATGAAGGCAAAGAAGATTGCAAAACATAACTGGCCTTATTACTTTTTAGCTCAGCTGCCTGAGACGATGCCAAAACTAGAATTCGTTTCCAAACTGGTGACAAATATGTTTAACTTCTCAATACACGGGCAGGCGACTAAGCGCTCAAAACACGGGGTCGGGAAAACCGACCACCAAGCATTATTCAGCCCCGTGCGGCGCGCCAAATTCGGAGTGTGAAAAACAGCGCCGACTATTTTGATCTCTCATTCATTTTTCCGTCGAGATAATTAGTTCAAAACTCTACTGTTAGAAAGCCTGAACACTCAGCTATTTACTCATGTTATTATCAGGGAGAAATAACCTTCCAATTTTTCGATAATGAGCTCGAAAGAGATCTGGTGCAAAGCGCCATCCCTCTTGAAAAATTTCACGAAACTTTGCAGAGTGGTTCGGTTTGTTCATATAAGTGCACATTGCAAAAATAAGGTCAAACGGATTACCACATTTGAAGTAATTGAGGGCCAAAGTCGCCGTGGTCGGTTTTACCGACCACGTGTATTGAGAAGTTAAGTGTTTTAGTGACATTTTTTAGCTTTATCTTGGGTCTAGACAGTCCTCATCTTTACTCGAAAGAATTTTCTCCCGGACTTCCAAATTCAACACAGACGAACAGCGACAAAGTCTGCTTGTGGAGACAATCGAGTCATTTACGAAGTTTGGGTTCAACGAGGATGCCACAAAAATTTTCAAGACATAATTTTACTTTATATTTTTATACTTACAAAGCATATTTTTTCAAATAAAAACCCATCATTTTCCATCTTTCGATGGATTTTCCCATTCTTTTGTTTTCGGACTGGGTTTTGGAGCCCAGGTAAATGGGGCTCAATAAATCTTTCGTCGTTGTCAATTGAGATCGAAATATTTTCACTACCAGAAATTCTGGTCCAGAATTTTCGCACAACTCTTTTGTCTGCCTCTCCACATCAGAAACCCAGATCTATAGCTTTATATGGGAGAAATAAACGAGTCCCTTTCCGCTCATTTCCAAGCAGAAAAAAAGAAGCCATCCGAACAACGAATATTCCATAGACAAGTAGCCTTCCAACATGGACCAGCTGAGACTTCCTTCTTCATTTTGCCTGAGATTTTCTCAAGGTCAATTAAAGGTCTTTTCGAGAAGCCCGAGACTTTCCTTCGTCGTAAACTTCGAATTCTCCACATTTTTATGTCGCGCCGCAGTTGTGATTTATTTTCGAAAGGGCGATCTTTTAATTCTCGATTTCAGCAAGTCTTGTTTGTTGAAATTTTAATGGTTTGGCTACAGCTCCGCGCGTAGTTCTTCTTGTCTTTGCTCAGAAAGGTGCTTCGATTCTGCGATTTTTTATGGCTTCGCTGGCAATTCAGAGCGACTAAGGCTTTTCGGCAATTTGCAAATTGACTTTCGAGCAAGACTATTTTTTCTCTGAGCATGAGAAGATGCGTTTCCGCTTCAGAAAAAACGTCGTTATTTTTAGTTGAAGCGATCATGATTTCTTTCTTTTTCGCAAAACTTTTTTCTGGCTTTTGATTTTTTAAGTTTTGAAGCTCTTCAACGGCTCGCAATAGATATTCATTTCTTCCATTCTTTTCGTGACTTTTTCCAAGTTCTGAGCTGCTGACTTTTAATTGATCGAGCACTGCAATAGCTGAAGCGCGACTGGTTTTGTTTATCCCGGGTTTATTTTAATTTTCGACAATTTTATTCTTTATGCCAAAAATAATTTTAAGTTTTCGAAGATCTAACATTTCAGAACTATTTTTATCAAAAATTTATCACAGTGAGTGACTCATAATAGCTTTCTTAATAGCTCTTATTGTTTACTTGTGAGGTCAAACCACCTTATAACAAATATTCTTATAAAATTGGACTGAAAACGGATAAGAATAGAACTAATGTTTAGATTTTATTTGCAATTACAGTGAAAACTCAAAAATTGGCCGGTTTTCTGATCCAAATTTCCGAAAAAAGCGGCAAAATTTTGAGTTTTTTGCCAGGTAGCCAAGCTTCCTCTTCAAAAAAGCAAAGTTTCGAAATTTTCGAATTTGGGCATGATTTTCACGTTTTTGATGAATTTTATTCAATTTTTTGCTTGTTCTAAGTCATTTTTATCAAAATAAAGTTATTTTAGATGATTTAAACGCTTCAAAATAGCAAAAAATGGTCAGAAAGACCATAATTTGGGTCTATTTTGATGCATATTTTTTTATTTTTGAAAAAGCGGCCAATTTTTGAGTCTTTTTCAGATTCAAAATTCAGCCAATTTCGATCAAAACCGGCCAAATTTAGAGTAGGCAAATTTTGAGTTTTCACTGTAATACAAAAATAAATTTTTGTTCACGAATAAATACTCTAATCGAACAATAAATGTGGTTCCTAAGGTGACTCTTCACAACTTATCATCCAGTTAAGCAGGAAGGTTGGAACCTAGATAATTTCTGTATATCAACAAAATATTGTAAAAAAAATCCGTTCAAAACAAACCTTTGCCTTGTCGTTTTCGGTCATCATTCATTTTTCTTTTTTTTTGTTTTTTTTTCGCATTATCGGCAGTTTTCTTCGTTTCGTTTTCTTTCTGTTTGTATTCAGCAGCTCTCTTCGTATCGGATTCGATCGAAAAAGTAATGAGAAGTAAGTGAGAAAGGCGCCTCCTTATATACTCGGTGGTTTGTCAGCAGGTTGAGCTGGTACTCGTTGTTCTGCAGTGATTGTATTTTCTGGCGCCGCTCAGCGCAAGTGGGCGCTGAGCTAAAGTCCATTCATCTGTCGGTGGTGTACTGGTGATTCACAGGCATGTGCTTCGGACAGGTCTCGGGGCTGAGGGATTCGTTGTTCCAAAAGATGGAGAGCTTGTGTTGGTGCTCTTCTTTCACCTTGATGTTCCAGTAGCCGGAACAGATGTCCAGGCTACCGAAGAAATTTTGATTCGGAGGAATTTGGCATTCCTGTTCGATGTGGGGAATTTCGAAGGTATCAGCGTCGATAAGTAGTAGGTTCAGCGTAGGGTTCAGGTTTAGCACCATTCGCGCTGTTCCATCGGGTTTGCTAACACCAGAAATTGGAGTATTCCAACCTCGTGTGTTGGCGATTGGTTTGAGAACTTTCCTGGCTTTGAGATCTTTGACTTGATCGTCAAGTGGTTTGAAGAAGCGTTCATTGATCCTCCACTGGTGGACGTGCTAAGCTTTGTTTGGCACGGTGTCGATGCTTGCTTCGTAGAGGTTGAACTCGCCGATAATACGGTCGGGCGTTGAGAAGGCGACCTTCCTTCGGAGCACGATGCTCGCGATTACACGCGCTTGAGCAAGATCGTTGGCAGAGCTGATATTTGTGCCGATCTCGTCACGCACGAGTGTGAGGAGATCTTCGGTGGCGACACTGTCGAAGGCAGCATGGACGTTTCCATTGGGGAATTCATCGTAGAAGCTTCCGAACCTTGGGTCTAGAACATAGGGGACGCGTGTCCAGTGATTATCGTTGGACCGGAAGAAGAGCGTCTGGTTCGGTTGGTTCTGAGATATTTCCAAGCAGCGGCTCTGTAATGGGTCACGACCGAGAATAGCAGGAATAGACATCCAGTCTCTTGGCACTATGTACCAAGTTAAATTCGGCCAGAAAGAATCGGGTCCAATGTGTATGTCGATGGTGATTTTTCCAAGGCAGCACTGTAGTTGGCTACCAATGCCTCTGATTTTCATGTCAGAAGGCTCAGGTTTTATTTTGAGGCGTTGGCATTCAAGCTCGTTGAGCAAGGATGCAAACGAACCAGTATCGTATAACGCAGGTATCCAAGTCTTGGTACCAGCGAATCTGATCGGAAGATGGTTCGCGCTGGTAGTAGCGAGAAAAGATGGGGTGAACAGTGGTTTTGACGTGTGGCAGGTGCGTCCGGCTGACTGATATGTAGCGCCGGACTCGCTTAGTTTTTTGACGAGAAAGTTCCGTCGGTGGCAACGCTTTCGTCGTTGTCAGTGAGCTCGGCGACGTTTTCGAACTTCTCGGTTTCTGTGAATTTATCGCAACCGTGCTATTCAGGGTAGAAGGTAGAGTTGACGCTGTTGTACTTGGCCCAGGACTGCTTGACATCGGGGCGGCTGGCGTTGTCCTTATTCGAACTATTGCGCTTGTCGTTGTTGCCGCGCCCGTTGGAGTTCTGGTTGTTGGAGTTACCGTGGCGGCGACCATTGTTGTCGTGGCGGCCTTGGTTACGGCCGTTGTTGTCTTGGCGGCCCTGGTTGCGGCCGTTGTTGTCTTGTCGGCGTTGGTTAGATTGATGACCCTGCTGCTGAGGGTTTTTCTTATTTCGGCGATCGTCATCGCTCTTGTTGGCGGGGCTTCCTTGTCGAGAAGATTTGTTGGAGGAGTTGTTGCTCCTGTTTCCGCAATTGTTTTTCTTGCCTTGTTGATTCGCTCTGTTGGCAGAGCTGAAAGCTTTCTGGCAGCTGAGAGATTCAGCTCGAGAGGCAATTTGCTCGGCTTTTTTGAATCCTCGTAATTCGGCGACGATGACCGAGTAAAGGTCGGATGATTCACCTCTGATGACTTGAAGGGTCTTTTAGACCAAGATTAATTCGAACGCGTCCAAAAAGGACGGTTCATAGTTCGGAATTCCAGCGACGCGTTTCGATTGCTTGAGCTCGTCCGAGAAGGCTGTAATGATGGGCTCCAGCTGGGAGGCCATGGTTGAGTAGAAGCTCATGTAGCTGGCGTTGTAGCGTTTGCCACGGGTGATCCAACTTTTCAATTTTCGATAGGAGTTGGTCATGCTCCCGTAGTTAGATTGCAAGACACTCTTCAATTCGGCGAAACTGTTGACACCTTGGGCGTCGATGGTTTTGATTACGTTTTGGGAGAGCAGTGGCCGGACTGAGCCGAAGATGGTCGCATAATCCAGAGCGGGGCAGGCGGCCCACAAGGATTTGATCTTGTTGAGGAAGCTGGTGGTGGCTTCGTTGCTTGTACCATTGAAACGGCCAAGCTGGCTGAGATGAGTAGCGAGCACCTGTCCATGGATTTGGACTTGAATGGCATTGGCGTCAGTTGGAGTGAATTCTTGCTTCACTTCCGGCTTGATCTCGAAGGCGAGGTCGCAGACTCTGCGACGGATGTCGTCGATTTCTTTCTCGAGGTCTTTCTTCGCGTCCTCTTGTTCAGGTGTCTGAGGAGGGCGGTCGATGTAGGTTCCGACGACGGCTTCTTTGGCTTGGAGCTGTGACTTTAGCTCGGCGATGCTGGTGAAGGAGGAAGTTGCGTCGTTTGACATCGTTGAAGGGAGGGTAGACGGCTTTGCAGATGATTGAAAAATCCCGAAAATCTACCCTTTCTATGATAAAAGAGCTAATTTTAGCTCAAATTTGGTGTTTGCGCCTGAATTAGGCGTTTTCTAGGCTTCAGAGGCTAATTTTGGCTGCACGTGGCAAATGCCGGCCTCTGATTGGCCGAGGCCAAAAATGCTGGCCTGTGATTGGCTGAGGCGTCGCCTGGCCGAATTTTACTAAAATCGCGTAATTAACGCTGAACTTGCTGGTTGGGCCTTTTGGTGGCCCACGTGAGCCTGTCCTTACCGATAATCCCTTGTTTGGCAATGACCCGGGACGGATATACCGCTAGAATGGGCATGGAAGTGCGACAGTGTGTTCCAGACAGGGTTCTAGCCTCCTGGACATTTCTGACACCAGTTGATGGGTGAGCGCTAGTCCGCACCGGGGAAAACCGCTAAAACCTTAGTACACCATCAGCGCACTAGAATTACCACTATTCTCCGCCGGCACCAACTTTGCGGCCAACAACTGCCACTTGCCATACAATCCCCTGCTAATACCCAGTCCCAGAAAACGCTCTTAGTTACAGGGTAATAGTAATATATTATCTCTGCACAAGCGGCCATAAAAGCCAAAAAATAATAAAACCGCCTTGCGTAGCGGCAGTAAAAATGCGAATGTGAGAATGCGGCGAAACTGGCGCGAGGCACATGAGTGCGTAGGTAGTGCCGCCTCGGGGCAATTTCACCGCGCGGGTAGAACGCACAAGCGAGCGGGAAGCGAACTGCGCTTACCCAACATACCTCAACGGGTTCTACCATCGTTGACTATTTTTACGGACTCATAAAAAAAGCAAAGCCAGCGCGCGCAACGCATTTCTGTAGATGTGCGAAGTCAAATCAAATGGGAAAAGTCGATCCTGCAACGTGGCCTTGACTATTTTCTTTTTTAATTTTATGCGTTACGCGGGTGCATTCAGTGCACCCGCTCAAGGTTTTCAGTCCGTTTCTCTCTCAATTTTCGCCTGAATTCAAAAATTTGAAAAGAATAAAAATCTACGTCAAAAAACACGTCCAACTTGCTTCGTAGGATTTTTGAACTATCTTTTATAGTAAGCTAAAAACGTAAAAATGTCGTAATTTTGCTATTTTTCGTCTCGAGAACAGCCATTTTGAAAGAAGGGGGTATTTCGGTCTCGGAGACAATAACAACAGCGAATTTTAGCTGTTTTTCTTCGAAAAATGGCAAAAAAGAGAGTAAAATTGTTCTAGATGGGCCGGGTGCACTAAAATTCAGTGACTGAATGCACCCGCGTCACGCATAGGGGTAATTCTGATCGTCACGCAGAGGGTTAACCGTAGCTCGAGCACTTGCGATCACCCATTCTCAGACGCGAGCACACTTTTTGAGCTCGGCCTCTAGAGAAAATTTAAGCAAATCTAACCAATTAGAATGCATTATTTTCTTTCAAGAGGCTTCTCCTGCTGTTTTCCAAATCTCAGAGACGACATTTCAGCCCTGTCTAGAGAGAAAATCTCTCTTTTCGCTCAAATCTGTTACATTAAAGGCCATCTAGAGACAAAAATTCGCAATTTTACGGACATTTTTACGTTTTATTCGTAAAGTAGTTGATGATTTGTTTCGAAGAAATCTGTTGTAGGCGTAAAAATAGCCAAAGATTCTATGTTTTTTTGAATTTTTTAATTATCTCAAAAATTGAAGAAAATCGTAATACAACAACTATCTCGAGCTCAGAAAGTGTGCTTGCGCTCGAGATACGGTTAATGAGTCATTGGCGCCGTAAAAAAATCCACGATTGTAGGGGATGATTTTTTGCTCCTCGTCCCTAATTATGCTCAACAACGACCTAAGCAAATTCTATCTAGATGAACTGTACCTGGCTTTCATCTCTTCGACTCAATACCTCAGCCCTATTCTGAGAACTCTCAAAAAAAATTAACCCTCGAATCATGTTTTCGGACCCTGATTTCTATTATTTTCCTGAATCTATCAGTAAACTTTGCGCTTAATTGTTTTCTAGGTTGCGAAATGTCTTTTTCTCGAAAAAATTATTATTTATATTTAGTTGGACATGCATTTATTACGTTGACCCACCTTGTGGACATTTTTTTGGAATAAGGGGACGTAATTTGTCCGAAATAATAGAAACCAACTGTATCCTTTGAAATCATTTTGTTGATTCTTTAGTAAATTAATTATAAGAGTTAGAAGGTGCCTGCTCCGAGTGGTTATTTTCGCGCCTTCTGTTATTCTGCCGAATCGGATTTTTATTCTCAAGATTTTAGAAATTTAGATTTTTTTTTCAACGATATTCAACGGCATGAACGACATAGTCCGGATCCCTCGATTAACCCTGCTAATGGCGAACGAAAATACACATAAAATTTTTTCACTTTGGTTTTAAGAGGGAACACTTACTTAAATGTTAAAAATATTCTAGAGCCCTTGAAATAGCAGATGAGCTAATGCGAAAAGAGATGACTAAAATTATAAGAACATTAGAAGGAAAAGTTAAAAAGAAAAAAGAGGATAAGAAAAAAGATCGAAAAAATAAAAAAGACAAGAAAAAAAATAAAAAGGATAAAGATATTTTCTCAAATCGTACAACGGAATCTCTTTGGGAAGAGCTAATTCAACAGAAAATAATCAAAAAGGAAAGGATCGACCATGTGACGTGAATGACATTTAGTCCTTAATCGTCGACTGAAAATCGGTCGGCCGTTTAGCTAAAATGAAAAAATGGAAAATCGTTAGAGCGAGCCCCTTGATTTTCGCATTGGGAAATGTTCAAAAAATTTGACTTAGTCATAAAGGAATGTGAACTGTTGTACAAATAATCCAACGTTAATGTCGAGTCAACCTTGTGGCCAAGTGAAGCATAGTTGGGGGCAGCTCGCGTTAGGGGCGAGCTCGAATCTCCTCATTGCATTTTTCTTCTAGTTTTTAGCCTCAAAAACTCCGAAAGGCTTACCAACCTAGTAGTATTAATTTAAGAAGAGATTGCTGTTAATTCTTATGTTGAGTTATTGAATACGATTCGTCCTAGCTGTTTTATAAAAGCGTGGAAAAATTGATTTCTTTTATTCGGCGTAGAGGACAGAGAAGTCCAAGAATAATTAGTCCAAGGGGAATCGATCCAAGTTGCAGCCCTTTGAGAAGAAGCCTGAGAAGAAAATAACGTGGAAGAGCAGATCGAAAAAATGATTTTTGAGTAAGGGCTGGATCGTCCTCTTCTTACCGTTCCTTCTCCAGAACAGAATAAAATTATCTGCCTTAAGTTCATTCTTCAATCAAATCTTTTAAAGAAAAATAAAAATTTTCATCGAAAAATAATCATTTTCGTAAAAATACCAGAAAATCTTTCTACCTTCTGCAAAAAACGAGTCATGCTAATTTCCCCAAGACGCTAACTTCCTCAGACGATGACTTCCCCAGACGCTAACTTCTCCAAGGTTGTGTTAATTAGCGTTTTGGGCAAGTTAGCGTCTAAAGTGCGTGGGCGATCCGTGGAGCGTTGAATGGCCCTTTCAGCAGGTCTTAGTCTGGTAGACAGTCAGTCCCCTCTTTGAATCTAACCTCGACCTTTCCGTGTGAAGAGCGCTCACATTTTCCATTTCTTTTGAGCAAATTTTGTTTAACGTTTTGAAATAATATTTTTGTACTCCGAGAGTACACATACCGTCGTTTTCCATCTTAAGAGCGTTTTTCAGATGACAAGGGTAGACCAAAACGCTCTTAAGTTGGAAAATTTACGATCAAACTAGGATGACATGAAAAAATGATGAATGAAAATACATAAAAAGAATTTTTTCCAAAACTCTAAAAATGCATCTGAGGTCATTTTTACCTATTTATGATAAAAAATTACGATCTTTGAATCAGAGGCTATGATTACACCTGAGAAAAAAGCGTAGAAAACAATTTTTTTCAATGATTTTTCAGGTTGAAATAAACGTTATTCTAATTATTAATTAAAAATTCCTAAAAACGCTCTAAAGTTGGGATTTTCTCAGATAACAAAATTTGGAAAATATTGGCAAAAACGCTCTTAAGTTGGGCGCTCTTAAGATGGAAAACCACGGTATATTGACAGTCGATTTCAAAATTTCTTAGGCGAGTCCTTTTTGGCCTAACATCAATTTCCAAAAAATTTTTGGAAACTACAAGATGTTCGTGTCTTCGCTCGCACGTTTCTCATGATTAGTGAGAATTCTATCCTCGATGACTTGGAGGTCAACTTGTTTTCTTGATGGTCTGATTTTATAAGGGTCGCTTGGGTTTTCTTCACCAAATTCTGTTTCGATTTCGTATGGCGACAAAAGTGTGACAGAGTGTTTGGCGCTACTCATCTGATGGATGATAAGAGCCAGATGGTTATCCCAATTCTCCATATCACATGACATTTTCAGTCTCGACTTTACTGTGCGATTCCGGTTTTTGCACACCGTTTGTCTGTGGGTGGAATGCTGGTGACAAATTTAAAACCATCGATGCGGAATGACGCCCCGCCAAGAAAAGTTTCCAACTGACCTACTTACCTACTGCGCCATATGACGCTCCTGACACACTTTTGCCGTATATAAGAAAACCTTCGCCCTGTAAAAAGTATTCAATCCAATACATCACTCAATCGCCTTGAAGCTTTTTTCTAGTTTTTGTCAGAGTGTTAGAATCATATCATGGCGACAGTGATGCGACAACCACTCGAACTCTTCCAAATATTCGAAGAAAATTTCAGATGCCAAACGCCGACAGTGAGAACGAATATGCCAAAAGGAACGATTAAAGAGATAAAGTCTGAATATGAAGATAACACAAATAGCATGAAGCTGATATTTGACTCTTCGCTCACAACAAACAAGAAAACGACTCAAGCAGACATCGACATATTCAACAGACTCTTCGAGAATACAAATAAGCGAATCTGCCTGTCATACATCACACAAGAATTCAAAGCGAAATACGCCAACGAGCTTCGAGA